AAAGAATGATAGTAAGTTAGAAGAGACAGGGCTTTGAAGCATAACAAGAATTCTCTGTTAAAATGTTTATTGCAGTAGACTATATGAACTATTATTCAAATAGGTAGTATGTTCATGTATAACCTTAATTTTGCATTGCACTTAAGGAACATAGCTTTTTTCAGATATATTTAACCTTTTAATTTATCATCTCTCCCAATTTTTCTTGAGAAAGAATATATCAAGTGAACACATTACTGTAGAATTTTCAAAGATTTCACTTAAGATAACAAGTAGCACTGGAAAATTGTAGAGTTGTTTTTGGACATTTGATAGAGAAGAACCGTTTTTCTTTAGATCCATGTGACTTTTAAAAATAAGACACAGCCGGATGCTCAGCAACCAGCATTTCTGAAGTGGTGTGTGTTGTCTCCCGTGTTGATTAGCTGTTTCTCTTCTCTGTGCCTATGGAAGTCCTTCATGAATAATGCATGGACATTTCTGCTGTATTATTTCCAGTGCTCCCCAGCTAACAAGGGTGGATGGACCCCTTTTTCTGGTGAAAAGCAGTTTTGATTATTTTTCTTTGAGGGGTGAGTGAGAGGATTTTCTGCTAATTATTATAATTAATTTAGTTACTCTGAAACTTACCCATTCTTTAGTAAGTACATTATTATTTTTCATAAGAAAAAAGTGACCAAAGTTGGATAAAGGAGCCACAGCTACTGTTTAGATTGTGGAGTCTAGAGGAGCTGTCATATTATTGTTTTTAAAAATGATCACTTGTGTGAGAGGGTACCACAAGTAGTCTGTGTACCAGGAAATTTGATAATTTCATAGAAATGATAGCTTGCATTGAAGAACGGAAGCACAATAAATTGTTCTGAATTAGTTAAATGCATAGGTAAAACGAAAAGAGACCTATAGCTCATTCTACATCTGAAGTAGATTCTAGATGGCCAATGTCTAAAAACAAGTCATTTGTAAAATAGAAGAAAATACTAAAAAGCATATCCTTCTTTTGTGATAGGATTTGTGAGAGGTACATAAAATCCAGAGTCATAAAAGTGACATTTGTGCATAATGAAGTATTATAAATTTAAAAGACTTGTATAATATTTTCAGTCTATATCACAGGCTTCATATTCACAGCAATCCTTAAAACAACTGCTTTGCTCACGGATGTAAGTGGTGCAATATATCTGTTGTGCACTTATATAAGTATGTAGAATTTTAAAGTTTCAAGGAATTGTGGAAAATGTTCAATATACAGTCAAGAGAGGTTCTGTGATCTAGAGATTGCTGATAATAGAGCCTGGATTAGAACAGAGATTTAATGACGCCCTAATTTAGTATTCCTTCTGTTTATCCTATAGAATATGCAGCTTTTTCCTACAATAATCTGAATTTCAAGGCTTTCTATTCTTCTGCATGAATACCTACGACTGTCTATCTGTAGTTTGCTTCTGGAGGTGCTTGTGGATCCACATCCATTGCTGTTATACTTTGTGTGGTGGACCTCGTAATGTAGAGGAGCTTCCAACTAAGTGTGATTTGGAAATGCATCATGTGATTCTTTATGTAGTTCTAAATCTGAATTGTTTAATTTGTGGACAAGATATTGTATCTAAAATTATCTATTTGGCCTATTCTACAAGTGTAACTCGGTAAAACTTGAGATAAATGATTTGCAAGAAATGTAGAGAAATTTGTGAAATTAAAAGTATATAGAAAACATGTTCAGTGAAGAATTTATATATTTATTATGGCTTTTAAAATATTGACTAAATGTATTTTATTTTTCTCTAAATAGTTACTTTATAAACTAAATCATTCCAAGCCACAATTTTTATTTCTGTTTTGTTTTTTGATCATCAGGATGTCACTGAAAATTCTGATTCAGTGCTCAGCCTGCATTTGCCCTTGGAAGAGCTCTATGCCCAGAACCTCCTGCAGACCCAGGACGCGGGTTCTTCCATAGATCTGAGCACGGGGGCTGATTCTGCCTTTTCCGTCACTGATTACATGCCTGCAAATGCTGTCGGTCAAAACTACAGATGTGAAAACATGGCAGCTTGGACCCCACCTCAGTTAACCAGCGAAGTTACACACAGCGCCCAAGTAGCTTCTCCTGCACTGCCGGATTCAACGGGACAGGTGCTGTTCTGAAGATAGGACCCGTGTTCTGATGAGGCAGGGGAAGGTGAAGAGTCAGCGTCCTGCCTGGTCTCTTTGTTTGGGATGAGTGCTTGCCTCACTCTGAAGCAACCTCTGAACTCGATTGATCGTGGCTCTTGCTGATTAGAGACCGAGCATGTGCGGTGTTGAAATGACCACTCCAAAGTCTGTTTTCTTCCACGTGACTTCTTTTTCCTTTCTTCCTTTCTTTCAGGGTTCAGAGTATTTGGCTGAACAGACTTCTCTGGCCTCTAATGCTGAGTGCGCCATCCTACACACCATGTCCAAAGAAGCTTTTGAGAGGACTATTACTATAGCAAAAGGAAATTCCAGTCTCGGTGAGTTCCTCACTTTACTCCACCCCCTTGAGAGCTCAGGTATCAAATGGTAGATTTCAATGTTTTTTTTTTTGTTTTTTTTTTTTTTTTCTGCACACAATAGGTTTTAGAAACTTTCTTGTGCTGTTTGTGATTTTCTTTTTATGCACTCATTATTTTCCTGAAATGGGTAACAGGTTTGTTTATTTCATACTATCTTTAGTCTCCCATTCTCTTAAGTATTTCTGAGTATTCAGCAGCCTCATTTACATTCTAGTAAAAGATATATGAATTGTTTGTGTATGAAAGAGCAAATCAGAAAAGGAATTCTTAGGAAATGAAAAGTCAGCTATGTAGAGTTCTAAATTCTTTGGAAAAGTAAATTATTACTTTCTTTGAATTTTGCTAGTTATGTGTGAGTCAGATTGTATTTAATTTCTTTCATTCACTGATGTAAAGACCAAGGACCACCAGGTGTGCCACTACCCAAATATGAATGTGAGTTATTCCACAGTGCTTCCCAGGTGGCAGGATTCTGAAATCCTCTGTTACCCATAAAGTCTTTGGCTGGCTAATAATCACAAAAACCCTCTAAATGGGCCAAGAAGACTTCCTGAGGAACTGAAACCCAGGCTACAGTAGGCAAAACTGTTGGAACAGGGCCTGTGCTCCCTCACTGAGGTGGGCAGTCCAGTCTCTGACACTTGGAGTTGAGCTAGATGATGCATCAGGAGCTCGGGATGCCCAAATGAGGTCCAACCCTGGTTAGCCCTTACATCAGGACTCTCCTCCTCCATGGTGGCCAGCCAGCACCTTTCACACTGACACCTTATGTGTGGCCTGATTTCTTGTTGAACTTGAGATTTGGGAGAGGAGTTCCCAGAGTTCCAGCCTCTCCTAGATTTCCTTTTGTTTGTTGGATACCTAACAATAGCAGCTGAAAATGAAATTATAATGGAAGATTTTTACAGTTATACTGTATATATATTTATATATATAAATATATATATACACACGTGTGTATGTCAGTGTATATGTAATTTCATATAGTACATAAAATTCTGCTTACTCTTCATGTAATGTATTTGTATTAAATAGAATGTATGTTAAACATTACATGTTACACCATGTATAGATATAATTAATGCATATACTAAATTTTCATGTAACATATGGTATAAATAACATGTATATTAAATTCAGTAATTGAAAGCATAGGCTCCAGAATCTTCTATAACTCATTAATTTTAAAGTAGTATCACTTTCTAATGCATATCAGATTCATTTCACCTGTTCAGTGTTTCTGAAACCATGTATTCACATGTGAAGCCAGATACTCTGTAGATGTTATCAGGAAATGATTCCCATGTTTCATGGTTTTGGGTATGGGCTGACAGTGCTTGCAGGTGGAGGCTGGTCTCGGAGAAGCAGCCCTGGAAGCACCATTTCTGTTACAGAGCCACAGAACCCTGCTTACACTCAGACAGCTCGGGACAGAAAAACCTCCTTGGAAAACCCTACCAAGTTTATTTGTTCAGCTACTGAATATTTATTCTTTTTTTTAATTTTTACAAAAACTTTATTGAGAGTTTCATACATGCATATAAGGTGTTTTGATCAAATCCGTGACCACTCCCTCCCCTCCAACATTCCCCCCTCTGAAGAGGGAACCCTAAAATCTTTTAAGGATTAGATACAAGCTCCCAAATACTTTTGACATTTTTGGCCTTGGAACAGAGCATGTTGCTAACAGGCCCAAGGACATTTTGACTTTTAGCCAAGAAACTGGCTACATTTCTTTGGAGTCTTTTTACCCTGATTGCCTAGCCAATTCCTACCTCCTATTCTTATTACACCATACTTTGAAGGGGTTACCCAAATTGCCAATAGGGCACAGGGACGCAGACCGCTCTGGCTTCTTCCATGCTGAACAGGGACACAGGGTGAGGCAATTGGAGTATTCTTTCAGTGGATCTATCTAAAAGAGTCCCAAATTGCATAACTCTTACCTCTAAGGGGAGCAGAAACTCCTTGAGTCATGAATAGGAGATGTGAAGGAGAAGTAAAGGCAAGAGTAATTAGCATTACAAGTTCTAGACAGGGAACTAGAAAAAAGTCAGAACAGGGCAATTTTCAAATGTTCATATGAGAGTCCATTGGCGTTTCTTGACAAGGGCTTCCAAAAGCATCTCTCTATTGGGTTCCTCATCATTTTTATATGCCGTTCATGATACCATAATAGAATTCCTATCCTCCAGGGACATGTGCTTGAGAGGGGACACTACTTGTCAAAAGAACTTCTTTCTAAAGGCCTACTGTGATAGTCACTCCTACAGAGAACTCTGAAGGCCTAACAGTGTTGAATCCTGTCAAATACTTCCTTCAGTTGGAATGATTTATAGACTTTTTTATAGACACCATTAGTATGTCACGATGTATTGTTTTCCATTGTGGTTAAGTATACATAACATAAAGTTGACATGCGTTATTTGACATTAAGTCCATTCACTTTACTGCTCCTCCATTACCATTATCACCTCCAGAACTCATCTTCCCCTCCAGAAACTGTATCAATTCCCCTCCCTCCCTGCTTCCCCCCCACTCGTGAGTTCCCACCCTCCCCCACTCTACTCTGTTTGATGATGCGTTGACTACCTCTAGGTACTTTATGTGAGATCCTCCAGATGCTACAACATTTAACGTTTGTAGCTTTATTCTTTCACATACCATAATGTCTTGAAGGCTCGTTCATGTAGCATATGTCAGAAACGTCATTTGTCCTAAGGCTAAACACTGTTCCATTGTAGGCAAACATGTCGTTTTCTTAATCTTTTTATTTGTCGATGGGTGCTGGAATTGATCGTACCCTAGCTTTTAGTTTATCTAAAAATAGGTTAATTAAGACCTTGGGGGAAACAGTGAAAATTAGAAGTATCCTTTTCTATCACATCTAGAAATCCATTTAAACCTCGGTAGCTTGGTTTTAAAATTAAAAGTCTCAAAGAAGTCTGTGACCTGGGAGCATGAGAGTAGCGTTTATGTGGGAAGCCACAGTGCTGCAGCTTGTGCTCACCTGGTGATAGCGGTGTAAGTCACCTTCAGGCTCACGTTTCCTCTTTTTTTGGCCTCATTCCCACTGTTTGAAGTAAGACTCACACCCACAGTATTTATAGAGGTGCATTTTTAACGTAGCTTACATGGAGGTTTTGTTGTTGTTTGAGACAAGGTCATAATATGTAGCCCAGGCTGGCCTCAGACTCACAGCCATCTTCCTGTGTCAGCCTCCCATCTGCTGCAATTACAGATGTGAGCCATCACTCCTAGCCTGTGTTCTTATCTCTTTCTCTTTTTTATTCCATTTATTTTGTTATGATTCAACAAACATTTTGTTTTTATTATAATTGTTTTTTATTCTTAAGAAATCCATATGTGTATACACTGAACTATCGTACCTACCTGCCATTTCCCTTCCCCAGTTCCCTCTATATCTTCATGTCCCCATCCAACTCCATGTCTTTTTGTTGTTGTTTTGATAACTCATTAATTTCAAGTAACCCACTAAGTCCAAGTAATGCTGCTTATATGTGCTTGAATGTGGGGTTATCCCCTGGGTCATGGGAAACCGACAGTGGGAACACTTTCAAGAAAGAATCCTGCTCCCTTCCCAACAGTTGTGAACTGTGGCAGTGATTCAGTAAGAGGTGGGGCCTGAAGAGCACCTCCCGTATTGCATTGGTGCCTGAATTAGCTAGATTGAGCTTGATCTTGTGCAGGTAACCACAGCTGCCGTTGAGTTCATGAGTGTGGTAGCATGTCACGTGCAGTGTATACAATTTCACATCTCTCCTCCCCACCCTCCTGCACATTCTTTCCACCTCCTCCCATGCTCCCCAAGCCTTGGTCAGGGTGGGCTGGGAGTTAATATGAATGCCCTATTTAGGGCTGAGCACTCAGTCTCTTATTCTTACACCAGTTATGTATCTCTGCATTGAGTGCTGCCCACTGCAGAAAGAAACTTCTTAGACCAAGACTTAGAGCAGCCCAGGTCTATGGGAATAAACATAAATATTTAGAAGAAAATTCAACAGCATGACCATTTAGCAAAGTAACAATTTTAGGTTCTGCCCTAGGTTCTATGACCTCTCTGGCCATGGGCTTTTGACCAGGATTATAGTATCAGGCATGAACTGCCCTCCAGAGAAGCAGGCCTCAAATCCAATCAGAAAGCAGTAAGTTACCCCATAACAGTCATGCCTCTATTGCATCAGTGGATGTATCTTGCCTGGCAGGTCAGGATCACAGCATGTAGGGTCTGGTGCTAGGCAAGTCCACTGATGTTTTCTTCCCCCAGCAGCCTGCATAGAAGGAGGAAACCTCCACTTTGAAAGCTAGCCAGTAGGGACGAAGTTTCCTAGTCGATTTGAGATTGGTTTCTATATGTTCTTCATCCAAAGTGTGTTGTGTTTTCAGAAATTGGGTCTTGTCATAGAGTTATGGTGGGTAACCAAGAGCAGTGGTAATAGCCTGCATTGTTTTGGAGACCTCTTGAGGCCTCACTAACCTGTAACTCTCTACTGGAATTGAAATTTTATTTTAATGACCCACTCTCTGCCCATGCAGGGTAATTCTGTTCAAATTCTTTTATTTAAGTTACATTTTGAAATTAGCTTTTTAACTAGTAGATTTCCATGGGACTTTTTAATACATCCTTAGTTTTGTCTGACCCACCCACCAAGCCCTCTGAGGCTGTACATCTAGTGGTCTTGCCGCTTTCAATGCCCTTTCTTCATTCTGTGCCTTTTTTTGGCTGGGGGATATCTTTTTGAGACAGGGTCTCCCAATAGGCCTAGGTGTCCTGGAACTCACTATGTAGAACAGGCTGGCCTTGAACTCACAGAGATCCACCTGCCTCTGCCTCTCAAGTGCTGGGATTAAAGGCGTGCAGGAGCACACCTGTCTCTTCTGTGTTTTTTATGTTCTAACTATAATATGTCAGATATACATCTTTCCTAGTCCTGTTTTTTTGTTATGTAGACTTCTTGTTACATGACTGGGCATCTGTTTCCCTAGATTTGGGAAATATTTTCTATGATTTTACTGAAAAATTCTCTATGCCTTTGATGCTTTATTCTATGCACATAATTTGAAGATTTCATCTTTTCATGGTGCCCCAGATCTTTCCCATGTTCCAGTCATGTTTGTTTTCAGGTACTGTTGACTGAATTGTTCAATTCCTCTTTCTTGTCTTTCAGCCCTGACACTATTTTCTACGTGATCTGTTCTGTTGGAGAGGCTTTCCACTGAGCCTTTAATGTGATTCACCCAGTTGTTTCCAGCATTGTTTTGAAATGGGGAGAAAGAGGGTCCCCTAAAGGGTTCTTAGTCTCATTCATAAAAGAATTTAAGAATGGATCCAAACGGAAGCTTTTACAATTTTATTAGAATCTTAAAGAAAAATCCTCAGGGCAGGCAAGCTGGTAATCTTGGCAGCTGACTTGAGGAGAATGGTGGGAAGAAGGAAAGAAAGCCATGGAGCCATGCAGGTTTAGAGCCCGCATGGAGGTCAGACATGGCTGACTCGCAGACACATGGCTGGGATAAGGAAGGTTTAGAGAAAAAGAAACACAAGATGCTGGGGCAGCCCAAAGCCTTAGAGAAAGCATGTTTAGTTGGAAAGGCATAAAGAAGAAAAGGGGAAATTACACCTTTCTGAAAGGGGGACAGACTTATAGTATCCTACATGACTGTGGCTGGTCTGGAAGTTGTGCGGAGTTCTGGGCTGCAAGGCAGGATGCCAGGCAGGATGCCAAGCAGAAAAGACTCCCTACCTCATTAGCGCACCAGGTATTCTGCCCAACTCTTTAGCATAACTTAAGGTGAGCCCACCTTCCTAGGGGTGGTGCTATCATGGGAAAGGTGGGTCTTCCAACAGATAGACTAGGAATTTTATAGTCTTGACCAGTTAAATTTATGGGGCTTTTTGCTACTCTTAACATTTTCAGTTCACTTTCCCTTAGCAGTTGTCTCTCTTCATTGAATTCTACTTCCATACCTTGTACACGTCCTGATTTCATTCATGTCTTCTTGGAGTTCTTTGATCATAGTTATAATTATTCTTTAAAATTCTTTGTCTGGAGTTTCTTCCAGTGTGTTCTTATTGGGAGTCTTTCCTACAGGATTAGTAATTTGGGGGGAAGAGATGTTACCTTGGTTTATTGTGTCTTAGTTTCTACCTTGGATCTTATACATCTGAAGTTCTTTTGTTAGTTGAGGTTTTTTCTTTTCCTTTTTAAATTCACATCTCCTTTCTTCTTTCTGTGGAGGAGTTTATGGAGCTCAGGAAAGGAAAAAACTGCAGTAGGGTCCAGGTGTTGTGTTTCTCCGTGAGATTGGCATTTGGGCCCAGGGGCTCGATCTCTTGTCTTCCTCTGAGCATCAGGTTTTGTTGTGGTTCAGCTTAGGCTCCTGCCTGGGACTTCAGCTTATGCTGGAAGTGTAGGACTGACTCCCTGTGCCTGTGGGCTTTAATCAAAGACAGCTTAGGATTCCTCTCTGGGGCCACAGCTTCCGCAGGAGGGAGATGTGGAATGCCCTGCCCCTATGGGCCTTACCCTAGGTCAGTGTGGGCCTTCCACAACTTATAGGAGGAATTGTGGAACTCCTTGAGATTGTTGACCTAACCCTGAGTTGGATCTAGTCTCCACTGTGGTCCACAGCTTCCTCTCTGCCAGGTGCAGTGAGTTATGGAACTCTATGTGCTGTGGACTTTGCCCTGGTCACACCCCCTCCCCACACTCTGGCTTTGTTTTTAACTATTTTATTGAACACTCTGGGCCAGATTCTTTGAAATGCACTCCACATCTTTCTTTGGCTTTGAAGAACACTAAGAGTGGACATCAGTATTCCATTTTACAGATGAGTAAACAATCTCTACATGAAATTCAGAGAGCTGCCCCAGGCCACACTGATTGGAAGTGATGGAAGCAGGTCTGTGTTTCTAGTCTGTGGTTTGGACTGTTTTACAATACTTATTACAGAAAAAAAAAAAAATCAAGAGCTCTTACAAGTTACAACCAAGATCTATTCAGCAGATATTATCTCCAAGGTGTTGGGCTCCAGAAATTGTCACTTAGTGAAAGGAAAATAGAAGCTGAGCCAGCTTGGTCAACCTCTTCATGCTCTGACATCCTTAGCAGCTGAGTAGTGAGTTCATTATTGTATCAAAACTGAATTCAGAGGTTGTGTTGATGACAAGCTTTCTATCTGTGGCTTGCTTTGTTATAGGCTCTTACACTAATGTGAACTAGATGATGGTATGTTCATACCTGTAATCCTAGCTCTTGTTAGGCAGAGGCAGGAGAACTGTGGTAAGTTCACGTCTAGCCTAATCTACACAGTAAGTTCCTGGCTAGTGAGGGCTGTAGAGACCCTATTGAAAAACAAAAACCAAAATTGACAAAAAAAGAAAAAAGAAGAGAAAGGAAAGAAAAAAAGAAACAAAAGACTAAGAACGAGAAAAAACACTGCAGCTTTGTGTCTTTTCCTGTCCTGTCCATCCACACAATCTTCTTTGGAAAGAAAATATTAGCACTTCAAGTGAACTTATGTTACTTTCGAAAAGTTTTAAACATAGCTTTAGAGGTTTTGTATCTTGAAGGAGTGGGGTAAAGTAGACTGTTAAGATAACAGTCATCCAAATAGTTCTTGAACAGATGTTTTTGAGGAACTGATGATGAAAACTGAGAGGGAATTAGCTGTGTGCGAGCTGAAGGAAGAGTATCAGGTGGAGACCAAAGGGGAGAGATCAGTTATAGATGGGAAAGAAGGACGCTGTGGCTGGAACCCAGGGAGCCAGGATCACATGACACCAGGGAAGGGTACAAGCTGGTGGGAGAGCCGGCCTCAGGGTACTCTGTGCTGTGCCGGGGGGGGGGGGTGTTGTATGTTGAGAGCTGCTGAGGGGTTGCGCTTTCCTTTTTGTATGGTTTGTCTACTCTGAGAAGAGTGCATTGGCAGGGGCGGTATTTGAAGACAGGTGACCAAAGTTAAGGGGCTACTGCAGAAATGTAATTAATATATGGTGTTGGCTTGGCCTGGGATGAATGTAGAAATGAGGAACAGTAAATAGATTAAAGGTAAGTTTTGGAGCTAGTAATGATTGGTCTTGGTGATGTGTTAAATCTAAGGGTTAGAAGATTCATAGTAATCAAGAATTATGCCAAGCCTGGGGAGATGCTTCAGTTGGTAAACACTTGCTGATTAAGCATGAGGACCTGAGTTCAGATCCCCAGAAACCACATAAAAAGCCAGGTGTGATGTCACACAGTTATAATCCCCACTGTGGTGCCATGGGAGACAGAGATGGGCAGATCCCTGGAGCTTCCTGGCCAGCTAGCCTGTCCTACTTGGCGAAGTTCCAAGCAATACTTGAGGTTGTCTTTCGACCTCCGCATGTACACAAGTGCACCCACATGCACATCCCCCTCACATACACCCCCCACACACAAAGAATAGCTCCCATGCTTCTGATTTGAATGAAGAGAATAGTATGGAAGGACAGTTTATCAAAAAGCAGAAGACTGTGTAAAAATAGGAAGTAGAAAATTAGTTCAATATTATGATGTAGATTGCATTTTCTTTTCTGAGGTGAAACCCAGGGAACATGTCAAGAAGGCATCAAATATCCAAATTTGGGAGCTCATCAGAATTTAGAGATAAAATAAGAATAGATGAGAATTAAGTTCCTATTGGTTCAGATCAACAGACAATAGCTAAGCACAGTGTAAATGCTGGGTGGGGGTTGGTCAAGATTTCAACACAAGCTTCAGGATGTTATGAGTTTTGTGTTCTGCTTTTTCATCCTAAGCAACCTGCCCTAAGACCTGGCACATAGTAACCAACTACCTGCCACAAAAATATGAATTAGTGAAAGTGACCTAGAAATAAAGTAATAGCAGACATCTTAATTTATAGACCTGGCTTTCCAGTTGGAGACATTTTTATTTTATTTTATTGCATGTCTGAGAGATTAACTGCTATTATGAAGTTGATTTGCTACTACTATGGTATTTTCCCTAAGGGCTATGTATCTAGAAGGGGGGAACCACATCAAGTAGTGTAAATTACATTGATTTTCTATTGTAAACTATTTCACTCTTATGTATTAAATATGAAATATTTTGTGTATCTATATGCACTTTTATTAACATCTTAATAATTTGCTTAAATATAGTCTGTTATGGGCTAGCATGATAGTTTTGCTTCTAAAAGTGCTTACCATGTAAGACTGATGACCTAAGCTGGATCAGAATCCACAGAGAAAGAAAAGTACTGACCTGAAAGTGGTCCTCTGACTTGTGTACGCCATGGCACACTCACACTCACACTTGTTATACATATGCACACACAAATGCTGAATAAAGTAAATTTAAAACATTCTATTTGCAAGTTTTTATTTTCTGAACCATCACTCCTATTCTTTAATCTACAAATCCATAGTGATTGTTAAATTACACTGAATTGGAAAAATCTTGTGTAAGCTCCTTATTGACATTCCCTTTTTCCTGTAGGGATGACAGTGAGTGCTAATAAAGATGGTTTGGGGGTGATTGTTCGAAGCATTATTCATGGAGGTGCCATTAGTCGAGATGGCCGGATTGCCGTTGGTGACTGCATTTTGTCCATTAATGAAGAATCAACTGTCAGTTTAACCAACGCCCAGGCCCGAGCCATGCTAAGAAGACATTCTCTTGTTGGGCCTGACATAAAGTAAGTTATCATTTGAATCTGTTTGTCTGGGGAAATTCACAAATATTGATCATTAGTAAGAATATTTTTCAGTATATGCTTGTTTGATGCAAAAAGAAATTATCATTTGTTTATTTAACATAAATCACTCCACAGTTTATTTCTGAAGAGTTTTTTGTGGATATAGCCTCTTTAAGACTATAGATAGGACTGTTGAATTTGGAAGATAGTGTACATTATGTGTTTGATTTGATTTTTCTTTTCTATAAAAACTCTAGATCTGAGAGATAGCCCTTGTGTCAAGCATCTCATAATACTGCACAGTCTCACAGAGCTGGGGCCACTAAGTGGACTGACTGACCACAGTGCAAAGGGGTGTGTGGTGGTGCTGAGTGAATCTTAGAACCAAAGCAGTTCTTTAAGGATCATTTATGAAAAAGACCAAACAGCAGAAGACCAACCTAAATCTTAGCTTTCTTGAACTATCTCATGACCCATGGGGATTCACTAATGTGTTTGGTATCCTCTGATTATAGGCCATGTAGGTTATTTTAACAGGAAGTGCTTAAATTTCCCCATAAGCCCATAATGATCTAAAAGTACATCACATATATAGTTTAGTTTTGAAGTCATTAAATGTTCCTGAACCAGCATCAAAAGCAATTCGTGACTTTATTACCATACCTAATCAATGTGACTTTTCCCTGCAACATTAGTCATTGAATGTTTGTGTTTATGTACAAGGGATAAAAACATAAAATAAAAGCCCAGGGAAAAGCTATTCATCTTAAACTGATACAGTAATTACCATAGCGGGCACTTTTCTACGTTATTATTCTGCTGATGACATTCCTTTGAAATGTATGCATTGCTAGAACGTAGGCCAAGAAAGCTGTACTTACAACGTGCTTTTCTTTCTGCCATCCATAAAAAGTGCAGTATGTGCCACTGGAAGGGGTTCTGCTGTGGTGTTCCAGAGAGGTGTTACTTAGGCAGAGAGGCTTTCCTATTGTGCATGACTTTCACCTTACAGTGAAGCATAGCCACAGATTGTCTTCCAAGGATAAGAGTGCAAGTGAACATCACTTTAAAACATCGGTCCCTGTGTTACACAAAAACGGAAACTACATTCATTCCTTATCGCTTGTGGCCAGCCTTTCCTTTTTTCTAAAAGGTGAGTGTTATGGATGCACATGAAAGCTATTGATCGCAGGAGTTGTAGCCACATAGTTTGTGTGTAGTGTAAAGTGCAGGTGGCTGGTGACTGAACACTTGGTGTGTTGTTTGGTGGTGCTCATGTTGGGCACGCTCAGCCCAAGAATGCATACTGTGCTAGCCTTGCCCCTCAGCTCTAATGACTGTAGAAATTCAAAAATGGCCCCCAAGAAAACCAATTGCTTCACCCTGCATCCCTGTTCAGCATGAAAGAAGCCAGAGTGGTCTGCGTCCTGATTCCCTATCGCCAATTTGGGTAACCTCTTCAGAGGATGGTGTGATAAGAATAGGAGGTAGGAATTGGCTAGGCAGTTAGGGTAAAAAGATCCCAAAGAAAAGTAGTCAGTTTCTTGGCTAAAAGTCAAAATGTCCTTGGGACTGTTAGCAACATACTCTGTTCCAAAGGCCAAAAACGTCGAAAGTATTTGGGAGCTCTTATCTAATCCCTAAAAGATTTTGGGGTTACCTCTTCAGAGGGGGGAATGTTAGAGTAGCAAAAAGCCTCATTAAGAAAAAGAAAGAAAGAGTTCATGAAGTTATCAGAAAACCTGGGGCCCTGGAGGGGAAGGAGTAGGTGTGGATTTGATCAAAACACCTTATATGCATGCATGAAAGTCTCAATAAAATTTTTTTAAAAGTTAAAAAAAGTGGCCCCCAAATATGTTGTGCAACTAGTGTTGTAGAGAAAATTGGAGGAACATTTCAAGCTCAGAATGTCTCCTTTCCTTTTTCATTTATGTATATTGTGTGTCTCTTTTCCCCTTCACTTACTGATTCAGCCAGAAGGCCCCAGTCCTTTGAAAGCATCAGCTTCATGATTGTGTTGAAGGAGATCTGGAGAGCAGGCATCCCAAGTGATTACTTTATCATCGCAGGAGTCAAAATACACTGAATTTTTCATTTAAAACAGGAAGAAAAGTCTTACACTTTCCCACCTGAAATCAGCTAGTCAGTCTTTCAAACACACACACACACACACACACACACATTAGTCTCTCTCACACACACATCAGTCCCCCCCCCACACACACACACATCAGTTCTCACATACGTGCACTTGACAGTTTTTCTTATGCACGCACACTGGTCAGTTTTTTCTTTTATCCACACTAGTCAGTCTTGCACACACACATGCACACACACGTACACACATGCATGTCAGTCCTTCTCATGCATGCTCACTAGTCAGTCTTTTTCAGACACAGTCCCCACACAAGCTCACCAGATGGTGTTTTACACACACACACACACACACACACACACACACGCACACACATACACACATACTCTCACCAGCACACTCACAAAATATGGGATTTCTTCTTAAAGGTCTCACTAATGCTCTGATTCAGATGACTGTAACTGGACTTACTGAGTTAATGATAGAATTTTAAATCATCCTTCTAGAGTCCTTTTTTAGGAAAAAACATGTGTTTGCTGATTAAGATTGACCAGGGTCTGGCTGAGTAGCATGTTCTCTGGGTTTTCCATGAAGCGTTTTTGGCCCATCCCATTTCTAACACTTGTCTGTCATGAAGCAAGTGGTTTGGAATTACCTTGAACTCACTGTGACCATCCTCCCTAAAGGAAAGCCTAGTGTTTTTAGCATTATGAGAGGAACTATGATGTGGCCTCTGGCCGGTTCAGTTTTTCACTCATTTCCTGGAGCTAAGCTCTGTCCACGTCACTTTCCTCATGTTGCTTATTCACTGGGAGTGGTGGAGGAAGAGTGGAAACTTAACGTATCAGACTCTGGTTCAGGTTAACCACCGATGACTGCAGGAAAAAGCGATGCTTACTGAGACAATGCTCTGCCTTTCTCTTGCCGTTTAGAGTAGATAACTAAGAAGTGTGTGCACATTCATGCGTTCCTGGATAGAGGATCTGACTTTCCAGTGTTCAAGAATGGCCAGTTTAAGTTCCAGGTTTCCTTGTTTCCTATGGAAAGCCAGATGTGAAGCCTTACCAGAATGCATTCTGTTTCCTTTCTCACGCCACCTTGCCAGGAGCTCCTATATTTCTGTGATAATAGCCAGGGTTTTGTGCTTAGCAGCAGCTGCTTATAACATCTGCCAGATAATTACCAACCAGAATCAGAATTCACCTGCCTTAACCCAAAGTGTGGGATGAATTCCTGATCAAGGAATAAAAGATTGATTGCAGTTACATTTTCCCTTGGTTGTTAATAATCACTGCTATAGACACCAGTGAAGAGCAGATGCTTTTCTGGGGGAGGTGTAGATGAGAGGGAGGTGGAAAGGGGGAGAAATAACCAGGAGCACCCACTTGTAACTACATATGTATGCGTCTCACATTCAGCACAAGACATTGACATTTGTTAACACCATTGTAAAAAGATGCCGTGGCGTATGCTTCACATTCTAGATTTTCTGCAGCACCTGCTGACGATCGAGCCCCCTTTTATGTGTGAGTATCAGTGATTCAAAAGCTCATCGTAGCTGTGTGTTACAACTCGTCTGTGGAAACCATTTCGTCCTTTCATGACGTCTCAAAGCAGGAGTAGATCCAGATATAGATTCTGTGTGTACATTTTGGCTTCTTTTCTTCATTTACTGGAACAAATTCCAGCGATGGCTGCATTTTTGCATTGTGGTGATGATTGTGAACTGACTTGGAAATCCTTTTTGCCAGCCACCAAGCTTGCAGGCTCCTTTGTCCGGGATGTGCCTGTCTGCATGCGCAGGCATGGTCTCTGGATTCATAGCCGTAGCACGTTTCTGCATCACTAACATTTCAGGCTTTTACTCTGTGTATACCGAAGGTTAGTTGACAGCTAAGATTTGTAATACATTACTCAAGTAGGCTGTTTCAATGTGTTTATGCAGTTTGTCATTCAACTTTGACGTTCTCTATGGTGATCTGGACGTTTCACGTGGCCTTGTGACCAGGCATGTGCTGGAATTGTTCTGCATGAACTGTTGCATTGTGGGATGTCGGTTCTGGTGGCCTTGCTCTCGCTTTGGGCTAAATGTTCATGGAAACTTCTTTCTTGGCTCTTTGTCCTTGCTAACCAGATATCAAACAAATATTTATAAGTCCCTCATTTCCCACCCATTGATGGAAGAAAATCATATTTAAACAAATACAGAAGAAAAGCACATTATGAACGAACATTGTTTGGGATTTCAAACTGGCTAAAAACCAATAGGGTATGCTTGTTATTATTAGTTTCCTTTGCTACCTTTGCCCCCTTGTTTTTTAATTTTTTAACTGGAGTTCTTTATATGTGTTTTCCCAAATTTTAAAAATAAAAGTTCTGTGAAATTGTGTTACTAACTTTTAGATTTTGTAGTAATTTTTCTTTGTATAAAAGAGTCAATCTTTCCTGATGTAATAATATATTACATGTTTTTGACTAATTCAATTTGAAGAGATAACAACAAATCAACTATTTAGTACTTTTGTAGCACCTTAAAGAATGTGTCTATATAGATGAGTAAGTTCGTCCAGAGTAAAAATGCAACTCTTTTACCCTACCTAGGCAGAATTCCCTAATCTGTATTTTCTGTTCATATTTTGGTCCTTGAGGCAGAAGTGTCACCGGAGATCCCCAGAGAACTTGAGTGTCCTGCTAGGGGATGACTGCGATGTAGAAAGCCATGTCTTCAGGCAGCCGGTATCACTTTGAGCAGTGCTATCAGGGTGTGGGTACCTCATCAGTGCTGTTCAGCTTATCGGTGCCTCATAAAAGATGACACTCTTGGGGCTAGAGAGATGGCTCCGTGGTTAAGAACACTGGTTGTTCTTGTAGAAGACCCAGGTTCGAATCCCAGTGCCCACATGGCAGCTAACAACTGTCCGTAACTCCAGTCCCAGGGGATCTGTCAGCCTCTCCTGATCTCTGTCGGCATTGCACAACACAGGTGCACTTACCTGCACGCAGGCAATACACGCCTACACATAAAATAAAAATAATAAATAAAATATTAAATAAAAGATGATACTCTTGCAGTTGAGGGTTTGGGGATTTAGCAGTGCTGTTTTCCCTCCCACCACACTCAAACCCGAGTACCCACACTTTGGAAGAGTAAAAGTGAGCATTTTTATTTAATGTGTCTGAAATACACCCTCACTGCTCCAGAAATTGTGAATCAGTATAATTTTTATTTTCTTACAACATGAAAGATAATTGTCATATCTTTGCCCTCCAGGGCCAAGATGTTATGAACTTATTTTAGTGAATTCATTTTTGGTAGATGGTTCAATAGTCTTCATTATTTCTATATTGAATGCATTTTATACATATTTCTTTCTTCGTTGCATAAAAATGCCTACCACGCTGACTTCTGGCACAGTATTTCTTTTGTGTTACTACTGATTAACCTGAGGATATTCAACAACCTACATAAGAATTTATCAGCTGTGTAAAGTTAGACTTACAGGGTAGCAGTAATTTGAATTTTTCAGTCTGGGTTTTAAGCATTGCAAATGTATTCCGCATCTAGTACAGTGTCTTCCACATGATGGACATTCAGATGTTACTTGAATTAGTACCTGGTCTTTCAAGTGTGAACAACAGGCTTTCTGTGAAAGAAAGAAAGTGAACATATAAGAAGTTGCTACATGTCAGTGAGTCTTTCCTTAAACTTAAGTAATTTAGCTTCACACTTCAGACTTGAGCGTTTTTAACTGAATGGAGGTAAGTTGGTTATTGATGATGCTTATTACTATCCATCATTACAGCTATGTATTATGAAGACATAAATCATTCCAGATGTTCAAGTGTTTAATAAGAGTTTGTTGACTTTATTTCTGCTGAAGGAACCATATATTTTTGAACAAAATGAATGTTGTTATTATTGCTTACTATGTCCTGTCCATTTTGTGGTGGTAGGGATGACTCTAGACCCTAGGCACGGTAAGCAAACATTCCACAACTGAGCTACCCCCAGCCTTATGCAGCCATTCATCCTTCACTGTTGTCCTGTAGAGGTTCAAACCCAGAGCTTTTAGAGCTTCCTGTTTTCAAAAATTTACTATTAACTTTCTCATTTGGAAAAATAAGTAATGCTGATTTTTTCCCTGCATGATTATTACTATAATAAATTCATAGTTTATCAGTAGCATTTACAAATTAAATTTCAGTTGTTGAGTTTGTCTGTGGGTTTTGCTTTTTGAGTCTTGCATCATTTGCTGAGTATGCTGATTTAATGAGTCAATGAAAAGCGAAGCTGAATGTACAGTGTAATGCTTTCTGTGTTTGGGAGCTCTCATAGCAAGAAGAGCTGTATCCCTTTGCTCTCATGGCTCATGTTTCTTTCCAGAATTACTTACGTGCCTGCAGAATACTTGGAGGAGTTCAGAGTAAGTTTCGGTCACCAATCTGGAGGAATAATGGCACTGGACATTTTTTCTTCATACACTGGCAGGTGAGTTAATCACTAAATCCACTGCAAAGAAATAATGAAGCAGAAAATTACAAAAAAAACAAAAACAAACTTTTGATCCACAGGCAGTGTAAGAACCAAGTTAAATGTCTGAATTCCGTTTTCTCTTCCAAGATTTTTAAAAAAGCATATTCTCTCCCTTTGTCTCAATTACTTAAGTAATTTGTCATTTGAAACTGAAAATATAGGGAATAGGCTGGGCACAGTGGCGCACACCTTTAATCTCAGCACTCTAGAGGCAGAGGCAGGAGGATCTCGGAGATGGAAGCCACCCTGGTCTATATAACAAGTTCCAGATCAGTTGATGCTGTAATGGAACCCTGTCTCAAAAGAAAAGAAAAGAAGGTGGGGGAAATATGTGAACAGTCAAAGTAAAAAACTGAAATAATCTTTAATTCACCCACATAATATAACACTTTTAACATTAAGTTTTGGTAATTTACCCCAGTTATGATTATTATTTCGTTTATTCCTGAGAATGTACATTTTCTATGGGTTTATGTAATGTTTTATTTTTTCTAAAAATATCAAACTCAGATTTTTTTAGCAACCCCCCCCACAGAAACAATTTATAAAGAGTTCTAGTGGGTAGAGAAGAGAATGTTAGGAAATAGTGCTTAACGTGTGTGTGTGTGTGTGTGTGTGTGTGTGTGTGTGTGTGTGTGTGTGTGTGTGTGTGTGTGTGTGTATGAGTGTTTGTGTGTGTGATATTTTTTGAGACAGAGTCTCCCTATAGTCCCAGCTGTCCTGGAACTTACTATATAGACTAAGCTGGCCTTGATCTCACAGAGACTCTTATCTCCCCAATGCTGGGACTAAAGGCATGTACAACCATACCTGGCTTGTGCTCTTAGTATATAATATATAGAGAGCTTTTAAATCATAAAGACCAAGCTTCTTGAATCTTAAATATAGCAGAACCTGGGGCTTGGTGGTACTACTGACCAAGCTAGGACAAGGGGCAAAGTGCCAACCTGTTTTTCTCTGAAATATATACCATTTTGCTCCCAGTTGTGGGTTGTTTTTTGCTGTTTCACAAGTTGAATTCCAGACTTTTCTTTAAGCATGTTGTAGAGCAGAAAGCCTTGTAAACATTTGGAGGCCTTCCCATAAGTTTTTCCTCCACAATGGATCAATCGCAGAACCCCTGGTGTCCAGAGGCCCTGAAGGAATCATGATACTACATTGCTTCCTCTGCAAATTCCTCAGACCACAGTGTACAGGAAGTGAACTGGAAGGGAAAGGCATGCTCTGTGCTTAATAAAGACAAGTCATGTTACAGCCCTTTGGTCTCATGAGGTTTGTGGGACAAGGAGTACCCCACCCTACCCCAAACGGGGCCACCGTGTACTCCAGAATTACTGTCTCGGGCTTAATGACATGGGTTGATTGGAGTTTCCCAGTGTTTCCTGTAACAATGGGGAAAATGAGCTTTCTTGTGTGCAAATGGAATACCAGTTAGCATCTGAGTCCTGGTAAATTCATGGGCCTGAAAACAGTCAAAAGTTCTAGGAAGAAAGAACTGCTTTCATCCCTGTTCTTCCCTCGGCTCAGGAAGGAAAATGACCTTGATTGTTCACTGTAGTGACCAGCTGCCTCATCACAAAGAAAGCATATTTGTTATTAATTCAAGATGCTGACAGTTTACATCTGCAGCAGAAAGAACTTAGCTTGCCTGAGTCCCACAGCCAGTTTAAAGCCAAGCTTAGGATGCAGTCAGTCAGGCTGGGTGATCTTGTCAGTCGGATCCAAAGAAAGAATTGCATAAATCCTTAAAATAAACACATAAGACGAAGGGAAAGTAAGAGCTAGATTGTGTGGTCAGGTGGCCTTAGTTCTTTTCTCACAGCCACACTACCATGTGGCTTTGTCCATTTTATTTTGTCTGCCACATTTATATGCAGATATAGGTAGTGGCGATGGTCCATAGAAATTCCTTTGACTGCAACGTTCTATCACAGGGAGAAAGCAATTTAATTCCTTCTTCACTGAGAGTGAAGGAACGAAAGAATTGTTCTGTTCTTCTCTAAGCAATATGTGACACTCAAGTCCCTGAAACCACATGCCAAGTCACAGAATTTTTACAGGAGCATATTTACAGGAGCAGGTCTGGATTAGTGAAAGGACTCAGCACTGTAGAATTATTAGAAGAAACTGGGATCTGTATATAGAAGATAAAGGACATGTCTTCTCACAGCTAAAATGTCAGGTCTGTGGTACAGTGTAGCTAGAGTGCTTATGCGTAGCTCTCCCTACTCGGGCTTTAGGGCTGAAACCTCCTCCTGCCGTGTGCCATCTCAAGTGCTCATTCTCTCTCTCTCCCCAAGCCCACTTTTCCTTCATCTCCTTTTCATCTCTTTGGCATCTTCTGGGTCTGTTTATCCTCAGCATTTAACATCGTTTTTAGAAGGCCCTCTTTTGGAGCTATTACCAGCATTCCTGTCCATTGTTAGGCTGAGACTTCAACGTCAGTCTTTTTTCCATCTGCCCTCTTCAGTATATAAAAGGGACTTCAAACATAAAAACAGTTGTTAGGGCCTGTGGTAGGTAAATTTCATTTAACAGCTTTTAAGGAAATCTACCAGGTAGGTCAAAGAAGATGTTCATGGAGAGTCTGGACATTGGTTTGTAAGCAATGTGAATCACATTCAAGTGCAGGTGAATTGTTGCATGACTTCTCGCCTCAAAGTTTGAAGTTATGTAGTGTGAGTTCAGGATTCCTGTCAGTGAAGAATGACTAATTTCAACACATACTTTCCTTAGATTTTTTTTTTCAGTTGCTATAAAATAAACTGATGGTAAATTCCTTTAGAGCAGAGATTTGCTTGCTGAGTGGCTTTCCTTTGAAGCCCCAGTGTTTACTGCATTCTTCCCATTCCTCTCCTTCAGTCTCCTGTCCCATCAGCAAACAGACCAGACAGGGCTTTAGTGTTCAGTTTGTCTCTAGACTGATTAATGGTAGCTGATTCTAGTGTCAGGTTATTTTATTTGGTTAGTTTTCCTTTCCTGTGCTATAAAAATGTTAGAACCTTGTATAGGTCGTGTACAGTGAAACTACAACCCGTCCTGCATTTTTTAGCTTAGCCAGTAATGAAGTACATTTGAGGCAATAGTGCTTGGAATAGTCATTGTTTATCTCCTTATCCAGAGACATCCCAGAACTACCAGAGAGAGAAGAAGGAGAAGGGGAAGAGAGTGAGCTACAGAATGCCACAGGCAGTGGTTGGAACCAGCCCCGGAGGTAAGGGCGATGTCTGGGATCTGCTCATTCAGTGGCTGTAGATGTTTAAAGATACGTGTGGTTTTCTGGAGTAGCCTGTAACTTGCTACTTACGATATCAAACAAATTGTTTAATACTGCTAATCCTCCGTTTCTTCACGTGTACATTGGAGAAAATAGTATTTATCACATGGGGCTAAAACTAAATTATGTGGGGCTGGAGAGATGGCTCAGTGGTTAAGAGCACTGGCTGCTCTTGCAGAGAACCTGGGTTCAATTCCCTGCACCCACATGGTGGCCAATAACCATCTGTAACTCCAGTTCCAGGGGATCTGATGCCCTCTTCTGACCTCCACGGGCATTGCATGACATGGGTGCACTTACATACATGCCAGAAGTATACTCATACAACATTAAAAAAAAAAACAAAACTAACTTACATGTAAGAATCTATAGTAGACACTAAAAAAATTACAGAAAAATATAGAAAAATACATGGGTAGTTCGAATGAATAATAATTTCTGAAGAGTTTTAGGTATAGTACTAAATGTTTAATTTAAATTTTAGTTAGCATTTGTAGAAAGTTATTCAAATATATATTTAAAACATGGGGACTGGGCATGGTGGTGCATGCCTTTAATACCAGCACTTAGGATGCAGAGTGGATTTCTCTGAGTTTGGAGCCAGCCTAATCTACATAGTGAGTTCCAGACCAGCCAAGACTGTATAGTAAGACCATGCCTGCTCCCTAAACAACAAAACCAGAAACACTCGTGTGAGTGTGAAAGAAAGCCAGAAAGTATAAGCAAAGAGCTTTGCTATCACAGGCTGAATTTATTCAGCCTTCCAGTGTCCAGCACTAACTTCCTGTGCAACAGAGAGGACAATTTAACTTGAATAGGCTCAGATCAATCCTGTGCATCGTTCACAAAGGCATATTAGCATGTTCATGCTGCATAAAGTCAACTTCTATTTAGTAGGAATTACTGAGTTTTGGATATGGACCCAGACAGAGAAGTGAGTAACATTTGGTGAGTAACAAGGAAATTAGTGTTAAGACGTAAATTCTGCCTCCAAAGAAAACGGAGTGAACTCAGCTGGGCAGGATCTGGAGATGATGACACAGAGAACAATATGAGGTATTAAATGTCAGTAATCATCAGTCATCCCCTCCAGACAGCTCTAACATTATCGCCATGGGGCTTTGCATTTGATAAACATTAGTATTTGCTGTACAGTGCATAAAAAATGGTTCTGGAGGTGGAATGTGGGGTGATTTTGCCTGTTCGCAGATCATCTTTAAGCCTACAGCCATCGTATTTTCCAAAATATAGAGAATATCATTTTGTCATTTTTAGAAAAGCTAAATATTTCCAGACATCTAAAGTGAGTTTTCAATTTGAATTTCTTCAATAGCCAGTTTGCTTTCACTAATACAAATAACAGCAAGAATAATAAATTGAAATTTTTTTAAGACTGTAAAATAAGCCTGTGAATAGATAGGACTGTTTTGGTTTTGTTTCCTGCTTGCCAGTGATTTCCATTGGTACCACTTTCCAGCTTATCTTTTCCTCAGTCCTGTGTTGTGAAGGTCTGTGTCATATATGTTACTTAAGGATCTAATTCGTTTAATTGAGTTTTGCTGCATCCCAGCAGTTGACTATGCCTCGGCTTATCATTAGTCAGGCTGATATTTTAGTGCTTAACGGTTACTTGCTGTTATAATTCTGTGCAGTAAATGTCTGTGGTTTTTTTTTTTTTTTTGGTGTGTGTGTGTGTGTGTGTGTGTGTGTGTGTGTGTGTGTAATTCTATCTAGGGTATATAGTCATAAGAATTAGTGCCTTACATATTTATATGATTTTTACTTTATTTGAAGTTGTCCTATTTCTTTTAACAGTGGCTTTTGCAGATCGTACTTGAGTTTCAGTATATGAGTTTTCTTTTTTCCACTCGACATACATCATAATTAGATTTTAAAGTGTTCTGTCAGTGGACAGAAAATATCACTTTGTCTTGATAAACAGGGTATAGGTGCAGTAGGATTGATAAGACGGGCTGCTCGTCTGCTCATATCGGCTCTATTTCAAGGCTGAATTAAATAAGACAGAGAGGCTAAGGACGCTGCTTACTGTCACATGGTTAAGTCCCAGGAGAGCTGCATTTGATTCAGGCCCTCTGCTCACAGCCCAGAGTCTGGGTCCAGAGTCATACCGTGCTCCTCCGTGGACGGTACTGCAAACTGCTTCCTCACAGGTGCCCCTTTCCCTTTCCCAGAGATGCTGACAATTCTGCATCCAGTGACTGAGCAGTCTGTCTTCTCAGCACTGTGATCATTTCAGCATCTCTGGCTTTCATTGTCCTCTGCATTGTTAAGGCTTCGCAGGCTGTACTTCATAGCAGTGTAGGCAAACTGCCAATCCCAGTAGAGTGTACAGTGCTATCCTCCAAACTTACCGAACCCGTGGTTCTTCCTTTCTTGGTTAATGGGGTGTAAAAAGTATAAACCTTCTAGGGTTGATGTGAGAATTAAGTGAACATATATACAGCTAACTTTGAGACACCATGAACCCTCAATAAACATTTTCTGCTGTTGTGTTATTCTAGAAAGCACTTCTGATTTACAGTACTCATGAAGAGCCTCAGGAGACATTTTCTTTCATTCTTTTAAATTTATTTTTTCTTAGGTGAAGAGTCTTACCTATGTCTTTTGCCTTCCAAAATGTGTACATACGATAGCTAGCTTTTGGTCTTGCTATTTTACTTGAATAACTACTTCAAGAATAGAAAAGCTGGAGCTAGATACCAGCATGCGTATGTGTACATGCATGTGCACATACACACACATGCACACACAAATGAAATAAATCTTAAAAAAAGAAAAGAATGTGAGTTCTTTGATTTTATAGAATTTCCGGAGAGAAAATGGTGAATATATTTTAGATATTTTAGTTGGTTTATTCATGAAGATTTTCTAAGGTCAGAGGTCATGGTAAGAGTCCAGTTCTAGGATTATAGACCTTCAGTTAAGAAAAATGTCCTGCCCCAAGGGGAAGAGACCTCTTCTTTTCTCATCGCCATTTGACTCCCTTCTCTCTGCCACTTCGTTTACTTTGCAGTAGTCCTGTTTTTCTTCCTATCTGGGAACAGCTCAATGTCAATGTCAAGGACACCATGACCACGCTGTCCTCTTGTTCCTGATGTCCAGCACCTTCACCTGTCAGGCCTGGAACAGACTTCAGGGTCTCATCAACACTACCAACTGCTTCCTCACTTCGTCCCAGCAAACACCGCGGCTGTGCACCTCCTCCTCACGCCAGTCCCTTTCACGAGGTGTGCACTGCTGATGCGTCCTCACTCCTTTCTCTTCATCTTCTGTGCAGTGCTTGGGCTCAAGCCCAGGTCTTTGCACATAACAGACAATCACTCCCACCAAATTCGATCCTCAGCTCTCAAGCTTTTTGGAGTTATTCTATGTGAGTTCATGTGTTTCCTTTGTGGATAGGGAAAGCGTAGAAATTGCCAAGGCCATAGCATAGCAAATCAACTACAGAGCAGTGAAGAGAAGCTGGGGTTGCTGGAGTGGAGAGGGGACAGCAGCTTTAGGGAGTTGGGGGAGGTAGTTGAGGGACCAGATCATGAAGTGTGTTTTCAGCTATGTTGTTCATGCCCTGACTGTTAATGACCAGGTCTGCCCTGGCAGGGAAGGCTCCTACAGAGGCAGGCTTCTGATTAGCGTGTGCAAAAGCGTTCTTTCCTTGGATTTGGCTGCTAAGCCTGGGAGTTGCCATCTGTTCAGTGGCGGGATTGCCTAATGTCTGTAGCATTAACGCTCCTGCAAAATGATACTTCTGTACTGGTGTGTGTGCTTTAGCCTAGAGTGGGAGTCCAATATTTACACCAAATCAGCTTCATAAATACGTTAATGTTTATCAGGTCTTACGAAATGAAAAGTATTTAGAATGATCTTTTACTACGAGTATGCCATTGTGAGTAAAAATATTATCATTATTTTTAATCATCCTAAGCATTTTAAGTGTATATTTCAGAGGCATTCAGAACCTTTCCTATCTGACCATCAGCACCATCCATCTACAGAGCTGTTTTCACCCTGTGAAACTAAAACTGTGTCTATTAAACAATATCTTCCTGTCCACTTTACCCCGAAGAAACCCCCATTCTACTTCCTGTGTCTGAATACATCTACTCTGGTTCCCTCATCAGTGAACTAGTAGGGCCTTTGCCTCTCACTTCATTTAGTTGGGCTGTTTTACCTAGCATAGTGTCCTTTATCCATGTTGAAACATATTTCAGCATTTCCTTCCTTTTTAAGGCTAATATTCCAATGAACTATATATATAATTTTGCTTATTCACTTACTTTTTAAACTGAAAACTTATTATTTCGGGGAAATGTGTGTGTGCCTGAGTGCAGGCAGACGCAGTAAGAGGACAGCGTTTGGGAGTTGCTTCTCCTCCCACCTCACTGAGGCAGATCATTCTTGTTTCTGCTGTTCAGTGTCCTCCAGGCTAGCTGGCGTGTGAGCTTCTGGGTGACTCTTCTGCCTAGTTTCCCATCTCTCTGTAGGAGTACTGGGAGTATACAGGTGAGCCACTACATTTGGCTCTAGAAGGTCCCAGGGATGGAGCTCTAGTGTCAGGCTTGCACGCAAAGTGCCTTGACATGCAGCTGAGCCTGAGGCACCTTGCAAGCCCCTTACTCGTTCATCATTGCAGCCACCGTTTAGCTGTTGTGAATAATTCTTCTATGATGCTGGTGTTCAAAATACCCATTCACGATCCTGCTCTGAGTTCTTTCCATTGTGTGCCCAGACGTAGGATTGCTGAGATAGACGGTAGTTGCATTTTTTATCTTTGCAGCGGCTGTGCCATTTCATGTTCCCACCAGCAGTGCGCTGGGCTCCATTACCTCCATTCTCACAAATACTTGTTTCTGTTTCTTGCTTGTTTATAATTGCCAGCCTTATGGGTATGAGCCAGTGTGCTTTTAAGTTTTGATTTATTATTTTTATTTTAAGTGTATGAATACCGTTTTCATGAATGAAAGTGGACCACGTGCTTAGCTGGTGCCCACAGAAGCCAGAAGACGGTGTCTGCTCCCCTGGAACCAGAGTTTCAGTGGATTGTGGGCCATCATGTGGGTTGTGGGAACCTAACCCAGGTCCTCTGCAAGCTCAGCAAGTGGTCTTAGCCACTGACCTGTCTCTCTAGCTAGTGAGATAGTGTTTTATTGAACACTGACTTTTATCGCTGCAGTTGTTAATCATTCTTTATGTGTAGCTGAATGTTTATTCAAGTTCTTTCTGATTTTTGATTCAGCTATTTTGGTATTTTGTAATTGAGTTTTAGGAATTTCATTTATACATTCTGGATATCAATCCCATATCAGATGTGTGATTGCCAGTTGTGTCCTTCTGTCATATTGGTGAGGTCCACTTTGTGTTTTTCTTGTGTTGCCTCTGGTGTCATCTGCAAGAAGACGTTTCGGGAATTATTTGTATTTCCTCTGAGAGTTTCCAGTTTATTTTTTATAGGGTTGAACTTTGGCGAGAACCAAGCAAATCCTTGGGCATCAGCATCGTCGGTGGCCGAGGGATGGGGAGCCGCTTGAGCAATGGTGAGGTGATGAGAGGCATCTTCATCAAGCATGTTCTCGAAGACAGTCCAGCTGGCAGAAATGGGACCTTGAAACCTGGAGACAGAATAGTTGAGGTACGCTCCAGTGAGCCTTCTGTTCAACCCTGTCCTCTTCCACCTTCTTCACCAGAGGAGCTGTCTTCTTTATACTGGCCATTCCACCCAGTCAAGTATGGCTCTGCTCAAGGCGTTTCTTTACTCTCATCCAGTTTCGTTATATGTATATGATAGCAGGTTATATATCTCGATGGGGAGACTCCTGTTTAGAGATATAGATGGTTTTAAAAGCGTAGGTCCTAAGGAAAATAACCATTGAAAGAACACAGAAAATTTATTAGGGTAAAAATTTAAATGTTTAATAATGTGTGTATA